ATGTACAAATATTGGTAGAATTTAATGATGGTTAAGTAGATGGAAATTGCCAAGTGAAAATTCTAGTAAAAAGAATGACAGTGAAAACATATAGCCAAGAAATAATTAGCTTTAATGTAAAATTATAATTTGAAATCGATAGAAGCGCTGTCACCTTATCAGTGTGTCAGGTCAGGATTAGACCTTAGATTCACTACCATTAAAGCTCCAAAAACGAATTATTACAAATAATTAACAAAGACAACTACTAGAGGTTGGCCAATTGGATCATTTATTTCTGTCACCATTGAGATTAATGGCACACAAAGTGAATCGAATATGGGTATTTTAAAATGACCATCAAGGAATAAACTTCATCTTAGTTAGCTCTTGAATCATTAGCCAAGGCCCCTAACTTATTATTTATTTTATTTTCTTTATTTAGAGTATGGTCGACTTGACTGTGGCAAAATTTGTTATTAACTTAATTAATTTACTTACCTAAAATATGAAGCAAGTAGAAGCAGGGACGGTTCCAGGATCGAATTACAGGGCGGGCTAATACGTAAAAAAAAAAAAAAAATTAAGGAAAAAAATTCGATGGGCTGGGGGCTGGACCGGGCTCCCTGCCAGATCCGTTCCTGAGTAGAAGGTAAGGTCACTCTAATGAGATGATCCATAAATGTTAAATAAAGCAATTGAAAGGTAGGTAGCTCGATGAGTGATAAGTTTCATCGTCAAGTGAAAACAATTTGTAATTAGACATAACAAACAACACATGGGTACAAACAAATTCATTAATACGGGGGTTCGAATGGAGCGATGAGGTCAATAACAGAGACGGAAAGTGATATCTTGGATTTAAGTTAATTAATCAAATACCATCAGAAGAAGCATGTGTGATTTGCCAGGGATTTTCGTCTAATATCCTTGTCAAGATGACGTGCTTTCCTCTTTTGAATCTGTTACTGCTCATAAATATTCAGACATAAGAGGGAGTCTTGCAGAAAGCTTACTATTTTGGTCTCTCTAATGGGGTTTACACAAGGATCTGAT